TTAAAAACAGGAATTAACACTGCGAGTGCCCAAGATTTCGGAAAATGTCCTGATGCTAATATCTTATTGAATATTTCCTCTAAGAATGGTAGCAGAATATCCTTAAATTCAATGAATAACTCGTTAAATGCACCATCAATACCATGACTTTTACCACGTTTAAGGTTAGAAATACACTTCAAAATTTCATCTTGTGTAATAGTTTGATCAAGTTCATCATATGTTGTGTCGGAAACGGTCTCTGGAGTATCGACTGTCGCATTAATACCATCATTTGTGACCAAATTTCTAAAATGTTCGAAGAATTCTGAAAGTGACACATCAGAAGTTTTGGCTCTCTTCTTTTGAAACAGTTTATAATATTTCTTTGGGTCGCTTTTACGCAATGTAGCTATCATATCACCCTCTTGACGCTTATATTTTCGTTTTAGTTTATTTTCTAAACGCTTGTATTGTCTTTTAGACATAATTAATATTTGATGATTTTCAACATTTTTGTCTCTATTAAATGTATACAAAGAACTAATATAGATAGATCGAAGTCTTTTGCACTCGTAGTTAAACCATGGTTTGTCATCTTTATATCGGGTCGTCTTACTACGAGTACGGTCACAAGTATTATTTGAATTATGTGAGTTACAAAAGAATTGTGAAATAATGCCCATCAAATTGGAAGTAAACGATTCAACATAATTGTCAATACCATTTTGGGATTTTTCAATATCAGAAAATACTATCTGGCTAAGTGAACCACTGTTTAAAGTTAAAGACTCATAACACTGATCTTTTAGCTCTTCCTTCCATCGGTAACTATTATATGAGTTGTTTGACGTATCACTATTACGCTCGGGCTCTTGTGAATCGTGCAATATGCACCGCAAGCGAACATGTAAAGGCGCGTGGTCACTAAAAGAAGTGAAGTTACAAACAATAAACTGGTCTATAATGTGTAAAAAGTCATATGGAGCCAATAAGTAGTCCACAACACTCATTCCTCGGGAACCACAAAATGTATAGTCATTAGCTAAGCCATCCTTATGCCGACCGTTCAAAATACGTAGACCAGTGCTTCTACACAGATTTAACAATTTTAACCCGAACTCATTAGTACTTTGATCTGGATTTCTTCTTACTGGTAGATTTGTGTCACTTAAATACCCAAAAATATGGTTGAAACTATCAAAAATTGGGCCACATACATTGTCATTTATTATAAAATCATTAACTATAGCAGTTCTTGCGTTCATATCACCTAGTAAAAATACTCTTGACGTTTCTGATAAATACTTTTCAACAGAATTTAACAAATCATAGAATAAATCACAATTATACATTTTATAATAATTTGAATAGGCAGGAGGCAAATATACACATCCAATGAAATAATCAAACCCACAAGTTGATATATCCTTTGACAACTTGAGCCATATAATTGTATCGTTCTGAATATCAACAACTTCAACATACTTTGCAAAACAGTTTTTTATTAACAAATATAGTCCACCGCCTTGTTTATATTTACTTTTTAGTAATGGGACTGGCTTACAAATATAACCATCTACAATATCATCAAATGACTTATCGATCCAACACTCAGACAAAATAGCAATATCATATGTTTTAATGTAAGATAAAAAATTTGGCTCATTAAGTTTATCATGTAAACCACCATTAATGTTCCAATACAAAAAGTTAATAAAGGAGATGCTTCTCGATGTGTCCTAGTCTGGACCTGTGTGCATATCTGCAAACACTTCAAAGCGGGATCCACAAGACGAGCCATCACTCACTGAAGATTTACTAGGTTTTATACCTGAAACGCTCGGTGTTTTTTCGGCCACTGAAAACCCTGGACCCGACGATGTATCCGACATTCTATCACCTGACTGATCACGACGTGTAATTTTGACTAGCTCGTTTGATTTAACCACAGTCTGCACACCATCAATAAAAAGTTTGTCTTTATTAAACGAAACTCGTTTACCTGCCTCCTTTGCTTTTTTATACACAGGAAATAATAGTTTACGTTTTTCATATATAGCTTTCGGAAAGTGTTCAGAAATTGAAATGGTTGACTCTTTTAATTTTCGAGAGTTTTGACGTACAGTGTCCCTTTGTTGACGTTTTATAAATTTGACAATTATGGGGCGCGGCTTACGCACATTCCGAGTAGACTTGCTCACGAATTTCTTTCCCATCCTAAAGGCAGATGCTATTTCGATTGGTTCTCGAATTTCCAGAGATAAAGCACATATGCTTCTAATGCTATCAATACAGTCTTCGCCCTCCTCCTCCTCGATACCAAAAAACATCAAATTGTCCCTCAAGTTTTCACATTGTAGTTGTTCAAGCTGATCAACCATACTCCTGTTAACAACACGCAATGAAGTTATATCATCGGCAATGACAGCCATGTCAGATTTATTTTGTTCGAACCCTGCAGATATAAACTGCTGGCTATTTTCAACGTCCTCAACTCGTTTCACAAAACCATCAACAATTGTTCCCATTTTTGTTAACTTAGAGTCAATGCTTATAACTGATGACTTTATTTCATCAACGGAATTCATTCTCAAATTAAGATTGTCAATTTTATTTATCAGGTCGGACATCCATGGGGGTGGACTGCTGAACGATGTAGGAGGAGGGGGGTACAAATTCATTCCGGTCATTCCGGTATGCGATGCATGCTGTGAAGGATAATGCTGAGACATAATACTAAATGGATTTGCATCCTGTGATGATGCAAAATTGACCGTTGGCATCACATTACCACCAGATGAGTTTGTTATTGTTTGTGACATATTAAAAATGGCGGAGGAATCAAACGCACCACAATCAGTTTTACTTTGAACACGTTTTCTTTTTGGTTGCGGCTTTGTTACCCTTCTTTTATGTTCCATTAGGTCTGTTAAATACGTTAACCATACACTGTTCATATTAGAGCAACCAACCACTCCTGAAGACATCTTAAATATCATTTTTTAAGAGATGCCAAACAGACATGTCCATACAGTCCAGGGGGACATAACTCAATACTTAATTAGGTCGTCTGATCTTTAGTAATTAGTGAAGGTAATCAACACATACTAGTTAACCAAGCAAGAAAGGTTTTCTTAGAACAAAAATAAAGATAAAAGTTGCAAAAAATGTTAAATAAACGTTTCGTTTTGTTTGTAATAATATTAAAGCCATTTGAGAATTTTAAGAAATCCATTCAGTTTATTTAATTTGAAAACGTTAACAAATATAGATCTAATTCATTGCAAAGTGTGGCGTCCTTCAGGGATCAAAACCCCGTTTTAACAGCGTTTGTTTAAAGGTTAATTATGCATTGGCCACGTGTCGTTAAAAAACAAAATGATTAACAATATAATAGAGTTGTAAGGTAATAAATATTTCAGGTATTGGGCATTTGTCATTGTCATGATTAGATTATCTAATAGACAACAAACACTTTATACAACTTACCAAGTAAGTACCAAAATGTAAAACTTTGCAATAAATGGATGATAAATTCCTGCACCATATTTTACTCTTTTAATAGGGAAAATTAAGGAAAGAAAAACGGCGCGTGATATTTTTTTTTTTTAAGATTATAACTTTCTAAAAGAAAACTCATTAGAACTTCGAAATGGTGTATTTCAACTTTGCTTAACTTATTTCAACATTTTAGTTATTTGTCCTAGTTAATTGTGCGGATGCCAGATTTATGTAACATATTTCACTATCTTCATAAAGACAAATACGGATATAACATTCAAATTCTCTTAAAAAAAAACCGCTCAAGACAAACTTCTAAATTCTAGATCCCTCTGATCTTCATTATTATCGATACACTTGTCATACATGTACATCCTGAATAAATCAATTGTTATTTTTATCAAATTTGGAAATTTAAAACTTCTAAAACGTTTCCCGTAAGAGCGTAATCTTTCATTCTTCTCTATCTCTATCTGTATAGATGCACCATTGTATATATATCTTATCCCTTATGACCATGAAATTTTCCTCCAATGTGTCGTGGCTTTCTATTGGCTACTTTTTTTCAGTTAATCGATTTTCTCAAAATTCTCAGATAATCCCGGATTATCTCAGAATTTTCAGATAATCCCGGATTTTCTCCAGTTAATTATTTATCTAATTTTGTGAGGAATATAATGAATTATCTCAAATATGCATTAAGCTGAGAAAATCCCGGTTTATCTTAAAATTCTGAGATAAACCGGGATTATCTGAAAAAAATCGAGATAATCCCGATTTATCTGAGCTTAATGTAAAATAGTGAGATAATGCTAGTTTATCTGAGATAATCCTAGTTTATCTGAGATAATCTAGGATTATCTATAAAAGTGGTTCAGGCGTGCCATACATATCCCACATGTCAACTTTGATACTTTGGCAGTTTTTACTGCGTTTTGTATAATCTTAGTTGTAACACTCGCTGCCTGATTTAGGCATGATTTTATCTCAATATGATTTGGAATGATAGATGATGCACGCAGCGCGCCTTTTCTGTCTGTTTTCTTTTGTTATATTATTCAGGTTATTTTTTTCTTCTGTTTAAATTGTTTTTGATAGCAGATCGTTGATAGTCTCCGTCACATGTAAACACAGCTTTATAGACGTTGGGACGATTTAGAGCTTGATATATTGAATAATAACCTTATGAAGAATATAAATTGATTTCTAAATGTCGTTTTTCTTGATTTTCTGTGTCGTTGGGTAGCTGTCAGATTGATTCTTTTGAATGATTTCTTTTATTAAAAAAAGTAATGGTTTTCCTAACTCGACGTACTGTTTTATTTTTTACTTATGCAACTTTGCGATTCCAATTGATTTCAATAAAATGTTTGCGACTGGATTTAGAATATTTGGCCATATATTGGTATCTTTCTTCGTGGTACATATAGATAGATTATTCTACATTAGAACTTTTTACGATAAAGACATAAACTTCCAAAGCCTTCCATACATAAGATGATTATTCAATTGTAGAAATGCTAATTGCGCTTAATACAAACTCTACTCCAACTACAACAACTACGACAACTACTTCAACTTCATCAGCTTCACCAACACCAGCAATTACATCGACTAAAACAACTTCATCGAGCACAACAAATTCACTGACTACAACAATTTCACCAACCACGACACCTAGACTGACTACAACAACTTCACCAACCACAACACCTACACCGACTACAACAACTTCACCAACCACAACACCTAAAACGACTACAACAACTTCACCAACCACCCAACTGCACCGACTACAACAACTTCACCAACCACAACACCTACAACGACTACAACAACTTCACCAACCACAACACCTACACCGACTACAACAACTTCACCAACCACACCGACTACAACCACTTCATCAACTACAACAACTACATCTATAACAATACCTTCGACTAAACAGTATATTACCAGTGTCACCTCTTCTTCAACTAAATTGACAAATATTCAAGGTATTGAAATATGAAAAAATTACATTATTAACAGAATGTATTCTTTTCGATATATTTCATAAATACTATAGGAAATTCTTTTTAACCTCATGTATCAAAACATGGAATGTATGGGAAGACAATTAACAGCATAATTATTAGAAAAAGTAAAACTATCTGGCACCTTGTATTAAACACATATATTGAATATGGTTAAAAAGTTTAAAAATCTTAAAGATTTTCACAAAAATAATGAACATCGCCATCTCTCATGAGATTGACAAATACTTAATACGATGTGCATATTATTTATTTCTAAAACAAAAAAAATATCAACTTGAATAACATGTTTCTTTAAGATTGAATTCATAACTTAAGTTGTTATGAGTTTTCTTATTTGACATACACCAGAAACTAAACATAGTACACAGTGTACTTTTTTCATATAAGTCTTCAGTGGTTTTTTTTTTGTATTTTAAGAAAAATCTACACAACCAATATGTATGGACTTTGATGTGAGATGTCAAACCAGTTTCTACCAACAAATTTTATGTGGATCAAAAGATCCGCCAAGTATATCACTTGCTACTTCTACGTGTCCGAAAACATGTAATCGGTGTGAGGAATTTTTTGGTAGGTATATATGAACACTTTTTGATAATTGAATGGTTCATTTTGTAGGTTTGGTTTTTGTTTGTTTTTTTTAAGGGGAAGGGGAGGAGCATTGACCAAAGCACTTCATTCTTAAAATGTGCTCTTGGTCTACGTTTTTAAAACCTTATAAAACAACAAGAGGAGGTATTAAACTCTCATGATTACATTTCAATGTTAGAAAACAAGAAATTTTGAGTTACATCAAGCTTCTTGGTATTTTTTCCCCAAATGTACCCTACGCATTGTGTTAACAATGTCACGGAGAGGGCACATGCAGTTATTGATGTAGCACATGGTTGTTGCCTGACAAAATTGTGTGATCCTTAGAAATATATATGAAATGTAATGATTTATGTCCATTCATAAACTCAACCCGACCGACTAATATTTACAATGGAATCGTCCGATACCAAAACAACGGAAAAGTCTAAAGCGGAACAGAATTAATTCTGACGAACATGATTCGTAAAACCTGGCCAATATTATCTTCAATGCGAAGTGCATAAACAGTCTATTAATGATATATCTTGAAAATTTTATTCTACGCTAGTACTATTCTGAACTTATTTCACAAATACTGAAAACCTCTTTTTCACCCGTAGTGATAAAAGGGTTGCGGTTTTTTTTTTCTTTGTCATATTTATTGACCAATTTATTATTTTGTATACTATATTATGTTGTTCTTGTTGCACACAATATGTGCCTGAGTATATTAGTAATAAACTTGTACTAAAACTTGTACAAATATTAAATGTATAAGTCAAGTATAATAACAAATATTAACATGAAGTAAGAGAAAATACAAAGAGGATAAGAAATTGTAAGATTGTCTACCTTTTCTCTAATTCTTAGCCGATTTATCCTTTTCCTGACCTGTTGATTATTTATATTTAACCAACGTGTGGATCTCAGTTATTCATTAGTCAAAATTCAAATGTGACGTTAAATTTTCTTGTTTTCCTCTGGAATTTCTATTGTGATGTCACGAAAAAGGCGACCATGCCTGATGACGTTGCATGAAAAGAACACATATTTTTGCAGATTATTGGAAAAGAAGGATTAAGTTTGTCTGCATATTGTCTAAAAGTCATTAGAGAAACTGATTCTACCACCTATACGCGTGCAATACGATAGTTCTCCACTCTCGACAGTGAAAATTAAAACATTTAAAAAGCTCGGCGAGCATCGCGTTTTAAATTATAAAATTTACCTGTCTCGAGTGGAAAAATATCGTATCACACTCGATGCAGTGGTAGAATATATATATATGTCACTGAATTATGTCTTTTACATTTACAGCAGTATTTTATATGTGTTTACGTTTTTAAAACCTTATAAAACAACAAAAGGAGGTATTAAAATCTTTCGATTACATTTTGAATGTAAAGAACAAGAAATTAGGATTTACATCAAGCTTCTTGGTGTTTTTTTTCACAAATATACGATTGTCGTAACATTGTCACGTAGAGAACACGTCATTAGATAGAGATATAAGTTTAGAATACCACATGGTTGAAGTTTGTCAAAATTGTGTAATCCGTAGAAATAGCTATGATTTAAAAATATTAAATGCACAAGTCAAGTATAATAACAATTATTAACATGAAGTAAGCGAAAATACAAAGGGAATAAGAAATTTTAAGATTGGACAACTTTATATGTCACTGAATTATGTCTTTTACCTTTAAAACATTATTTAATATGATGTGCAGTGCTTCCGTTCTGTCATGATTTCATTTGATTTCCTTTGATCTCATTTTATTATCATTTATCCTGATCAGTTTTTTGTATTGTACTCCATACCTCACCGAATTGAAATAATTAACAAATATCAAGTGTATTCTGTCCTTAAGGTTTCTTTTTGTTTTTGTTATATACATTTGTTTACTTTATTACCAATAAATTAGCAGGTTTTCGAAAATATGCATTTGAATATAAAACACTACATACATAATTAAATGTTTTTATTACTTTTTTTGCAGCGCAGCTAACTACTTTGGCTCCACAAACTGTCACCGTTATTACACCTAAAGGTAAAAATTAACATAACTTTATAATGAGTAAAATTATTTGCGACTTGTGTTCATCAGATTTAGAACCAGTATATATATATGTTTACAAAATTTGTAAACAACCAGTGCTGCTTATAGTAAAGTGTTAACATATTATGAATTCCAACTTTTATGTTAACCAAAAGAAAGAACTCTTTTCATAAACAAATGAAAATGTTTAGTAAATGTAAATCGATTCCTACTAGACTATTCAGTAAAATAACTAGAATCGAAAATTGTAGCACAAAATGCCCGGGTTTTTTGTCGAAGAATAATACTCAGCAACTATTCTGAAAATAAATTGATGATATTAGTAGCAGTAATCGCAATGGAGCTCGTGCGATTACATTAAATTCCTTATAATGTTTATTTGTTTGCGACTGGCTATGGGATATTTCACCTTACATATACTTTTTCATGGTATATACCAACAGATAATTTTACATGAAAAATATTCACGATAGAGATGAAAACATCAGAAACCTTTAGAAAATGAATAGATGGAAGTTGAATTTCAGAAATGTCAACTACGCTGACTAAACAATCTACTACGACTAAACCAACTACGCCAACGACGACATATAAAGCAACTGCGACAACTAAAACAACTACACCTACTTCAATAACTTCACCAACTACAACATCTACAGCAACTACAACAACTTTACCGACTACAACAACAACACCGATAACAACAGCTTTACCGACTAAAACAACTACAGTGACTACAATAGGTTCACAAACCATTGGTTGGATGTTGTTTTTTGGCAATCATTTTCCATCTACTTAATTCTATATAGATATATGATAGTAAAAAGCATAGTTTGTTTTCCCTTTTTTAGTAGCCACAGCACAGCTAACATGTATTGACCAAAGCACCAAATGTTATGATCATATCTTCACAAGTATTCTGTGTTCAAACTTAGAACCAATAAATTTAAACTATGCCATTGCTACATGTCCAAAGACCTGTAATCGTTGTGCTGAGTATTACGGTAAGTTCTTAGGTATGAAAATATTATTACCATTGACAAGCCTATGTAAAAATACATTTTTATTTGATTTTACTTAAATATCTTCAATATTAGAGGTGTCGAGTGATGTAGGGCTCTGGGAACAGAGGAAGCGGTGTTGACGCGATGTCACAGAAGCAAGGGTTCGAATCCCGCTGAGTTAAGAACAAATATTTTCTTACACAAAATTTGTACAAGAGAAGCGAAAGATACCAAAAGAAAACTTAAGACTGAGCAACACGAACCCCACCAAAAACTGGGGATGATCTCAGGTGCTCCGGAAGGGTAAGCAGATCCTGCTCTACATGTGGCACCCATCGTGTTGCTCATGTTAGTACAAACCCGGTAATAAGTCTAATTTGGTAGGTCACATAGATTTAAAATTGTTGGACGAATTATATATATGTCATGGTGTTAGGCCTGTATAACCACATCATGTTACCCGATTAAGATTGTCTGTCATAAAGTTGTCATATGTTTAGACGTATATGATAAAATTATTGATGTGGCGGCATGGTAAGTAACATTAGCATCCTTAACGACAGACAAAACATAGCTGATCTAAAAGGTACACCATAAACTTGGTACTATACAACATGTTCTGTGTTACAACCCTAGATAAAGCTGACCAGGAAAAGCATTACTCGACTAACGAAATCTATATTTGCATATAGCCTAGTTGGTCGAGTAGTCTTGGACGCTGGATAAAGTGCAGGCGGTTTTGCCACGATGTCACAGAAGCAAGGGTTCGAATCCCACTGAGGGAAGAAAAAAATTTGCTAACATTGTTGGGCTAAACTTGAGACGAATAGGATATAAATGTTTTATGTAGACAGTTTAAATCATATCACTCACACGTGAAATAAAATAGACAAACAAAAAGTTATTATACAAGAATAAAAGTCAAATTGTAATTTTGATTTTTATTTCCAGCTAGTTTACAAGCTTGATGTAAGTTTTATACATTTCTTTTTTATAGTTACACGTATATTGCTCCTGTGACTGCTTAGAGCGTAACATACAGTAATAAGGTGATATTTCACCCTTTGTTTTACAATTATAAATAACTAAGTAGTTAACAGCATTTATATATTTTTTTTATATTTATTAACCATAAGATAAATTGGACGGCGCTATTTTATTTTACTCTATTTATATTAAACTGATTTTATTCGTGGATGCAGGTCCTGCTGGTTAATTGGTAACGTAATAACTTGCGGTATTTTTGCATGCA